CTGTTTCGACGTTACAACGTCATCCTCAGGAGTGAATTACAAGACAATTGCCAAAGTATTTATAATTTGTTAGTAGGTCATTGACCTGTATGTTATTTTTCATACACTCACACTAAACCATTCAAAGGAGATTAATCCACATTCTTACAGAAATATTTACCATACCTTCATCCCTATTTAATACTACATGATCTTTTTTTTTATATTTTATTATTTCTAATGATTCATGAATATTATTACCTATTATACTTTTTGGTTGAGCTAATATTACAGTTTTTTTTTTCTCATAATATTGTGTTGTGTTTTCTGTACATGTTCTTCTATGGATGAATTTTCAGTTTTTTTATTTTCTACATGTCCCTTATGCTCATTTAAGCGGTATTTTAAATTACGTTTTGTCTGACCAATGTAAATACTTCCACGTTCACATTCTATTTTATATATATATTCCAGTTTTTTCAGTTAAAGGTAGTTCATCTTTCGTAGTACCTAAGATTTGATTCATCTTATTTATCGGTTTAAATATAGGGTAGAATATCTGTTGTTTTTTGAACACTTTAAATAAAATAGTAGTTAAACCTGGAATATATGGTGAGATTAAGCCTTCCTTTCTAATTTTTTCATAAGTAGGTTTTAAAGTACTAACTTGATGTTAGATGTGCAATTTGTAGTTTTCTAAAATTGGATTTGGTGAGAAAGATACATTGCCTTATTTTTTTTTTCTAAAATTTATTGCCTTATTTCCATTTTCATGATGTGTTTATAAATAGGGCTGGGTGTGGTCCAGTAGTTGGTATGTCAAGCTGTGGATTGAAGGTTCCAGAGTTTGAGACATGTTTACAATGAATAAATCACACCTCCAGTAGCAGGTACATTTAAAATGTGACAGTCAGTCATGTTATTCAGTTTAAAGAGCCAGGCGAGTCCCTTATGATGGCAGCTTCAGCTGAGTGGCTACCCTTTCTCTGTGATCAATAGTACAAAATTAGCTATATTTGAATCTTGGAGTCTCTCTCCTGTCTCCTGTTAAGTTGACAGTTCCAATTCTTGTAAAAAACTGATGGTGAAAAAAATGGTGCTTTTATTCGTAAATGTGAAACTTTTATGTTTTTAAGGGTGTATATTTAAACTGTATTTTATATTCTGTAAATATGCCATATTATAATGTTAGCAGTTAGATACTCAATACATGCAGCTTCTGAAGAATGGACTCATAATTATTGGAAAGTACATATTAGGCATCTTGTTTTTCATGTATATGACTGTTTGTTAATCAGTTTTTTAATTACGTGCAGTGCAATAAATTTTGATAATAGTTGTCAGTTGGAAAATGTATATGTTCTGTCATACTGAGTTTTGAATTATCAAATTTTATTTTTTTTATTATAAATTTGCCAAGTTAGTCTCTTTAAAAATATTTTTAGAAGTATGTGTGAATACAGGTTTTCCTCTTTACCTTTAATATTTGTGTGTCACAGGTACAGTGCAAAAATTTACAAACACCCCAGAAGCTGTCTTTATCAGTTGCATTATCCTTCATATATGGAAATATGACACTTGGTCGAGAACCAGACATATCTTTGACAATTTTCAGTACTAGGTTGGTATGTCCTCACACAGTGATATACATTGGCAACATGACAGGTTTGTAAGAAATATCTTGTATATTTATATTAATTAATTGTGTTGCAAGTTTGCTAGTTGATATGTATGATGGAAATGCTGTTAACATTTTATTTTAATGTTTTTGTAAATGTATTTATAATAAAAAAATATCTTAAACCAAGTGTTTTAACTTATTTTACTTCATGAGTAAATGTCAGTCCTTTGTGTTGCTTTGTGATGTCAAATTACTACTATTCTTATTATCATTTACAGGTGTGGTACAGCCTAGAGGAAAGTATCATAAAACATCTGTTAGAAATGAAACACCATATTAGGTAGAACAAAACACATTTACTCTGAGCCATAGAGCATACTGTGATGTGGGAGTAAATGAAAGTATCCTACCATGTCTCTGTTGTTTCACCACATTTTCTGCTATTCAAATATATTGTTCAACAGAATGTGAATGTTAAATATATATATTTGTTTTTAAATTTGTCTTTCAGGCTCTTGGTAGAAGGATGCTACATACACGTGAAAACTAAATTTCAATCAAATTTTGTCATTTAATTAAAATGAGATATAAAATCTCATATTTGAATAAGCTATAACTTTTTTCTTTCAAATATAATTGGAACTTAAATGTTATCTGTCAGACTGGTATTATTACTATTATTCTTTTAGTTTTATATATTCTAGTGAAACACTGAATACAAATATAGCATCAGTAATATTCTTAAGCATTTGTAAATGTTAAATTCAGGAAGCAGTCATATGCTCACCTAAACCAAAATTACAAGAGAAAAAATAAAATATGCTGCATTTAAAAATCTCTGTAAAGCATAATTTTTTGTATTTTAAGGTGGGGATCAACTGCTATTATGTTTCAAATTTCAAAACTAAACAGAAGAATTAAAAAAAAAATTAAGTAAATATGAAAGGCCTATTGTATTAAGCTGTTTTGTGTTTCATAAATGAATTTCTACTTTAAAGCTGAAATTTTAAGCAATACATTTATAGACCATTAGAAGATCTAATTTAATATGTATAAACTAAATTCTTAACTTTCTTGGTAAAATTCAGTTGAAAATTAGCAAGTGTTATTTGTGTTTAACACATTATAAATTTTATTAGTGTTTTAGAAAGTGTATGTGTGTCCGTAATCATGAATGAATTATGGATAACCAAGTATAAAATGATAGATCCAAGTGATTTTTTTTTGGTTAGGAGTTGACACTTCTATGGATGAACATGTGATGCAGGTATGCATGGAAAGAAGTAAACTTGAACAAAATGGTGAAGAACCAAAGGAAAATTATGAAAATTCTAAAACAAAAAATCTTACAGAGTTTGAGCTAGGAGTTCTTTTTGCCAGAAGTCATAATGTTCGGAAGTTTGCTGTTAACATAGTTAGGGCAATTTTTTCTGAAGAAGAGATGAGAACATCTAATTGTACAGGAGCTAGAGAATTTCAGCAGTTGGACTTTGGGAAACTACAGTTTGTTCGGGAAACTGTTCTAAGGTACTACAATATCCCTACTTATGCTTCACCAGAAATTTGGAAACTTTGTTGCCAGAGTATTGATGCCCATTGTCGCCATGAAAGGAGATTATACAAAAAATTGGAAGCAAACATATAAGTGACATTAGAAGATTAAGTGAAAAGTCTTGAAGATTAGCTGAACACAATAAGGGTAATGCAGCATAGAAGAATAGGCTGTAAAATTATTCTTGTGAAATATAAAACTCTTCTGATATGCAAATTGATTTTATAGTGCAATTTCAAATTTTTCAAAAGCAGAGAAACTTAATGAGTGACTTCAAAATTTATAATTTTGTCTTTGTAGAAGAGATCAGTAACTGTTACAAATACAAAGTTGCTTTTGTTAATTTTTGTATATATATTTTTTAATGAATTTTATTTTAATGTTGGTGAATATTAAATGATGCAAATGCTAGTGAGGTAATTACCAGTTTTGCAATCTGTGAAAGTTATAACATTACAATTAAATATTGCAGAAAAGGCTTCTTGTGTATGTGGATTCATGATGAATTAATTTTTTCAGTTACAAATGAATTTCTTATTTTAACCTGATGACACCATGATTCAACAGTGCTGATTAGGCTGTCAACATCACCCAATTCACAAATCCTATGTTTTTAACTTGACTGTGTAGTTAGTTCATCAACCTTGTGACCTTGAAGTGAATTAAACTGACTGTGGGGGAGCTGCTACTACTTTATGGGTTGCTAATTGGTCTTTATTAGCTGCATTTGTGTTCTGAGTTTAATCATCCCTATCCCTATGTCATAATTTTCATGGGCTTATTTCAAATAAATTTTTTGAAGTATAAAAGTAAAATATGTAAAAAAATTTTAAGAAAAGGGTATTTGGACTTGAGGAACAATAAAAGGATGTTAGTTTTGTAATGTGGAATCCACTGGAGTGCCAATTTTTAGGATGATTGATGATTTAAATGTTTAACAATTCAGTAGAGAAAAAATCCATATTTGATTTAATGAACCTATAAAACCTCATAGTGCAGCCTACCAACCAATATTTATTATAGTATGTTGCCTATTAACCAGTATTTATTATAGTATGTTATAGGTATGTTATAGAGTTTAAGGTTTAAATGTTATGTCATAATTTATTTTATCTCGATGTTTTTTACTTTAAATATTGGTTATGTTTGTTACCTCTTTATCATAACTTAAACATTTTTAAAATAAATCTTTTTACATGGCATACTGTCAAAGATTTTCTTTGGCGAATTTTAATCTCATTTCCAGTGCTAAAAAAAACCACCAATTTTCCAAATTTTAAATGTAAAAATTTAAATTTTTTGGCAGTACTTTTTAAAATAAATTGATTTTTGAAAGGGAAGGAAGATCACTGTAATCATAAATCTGTGACGTTGGGTTTAAATGCCGAGAATAACAACAATTTTTTTTATGAAAATGAGAATACCAAATTCTTTGCTCACCTTACTTGTGTGCATGTTGTGGGGAGGGAACTTTATAGATGAAAATAATAGTATTGTGACTACTTTATGGTTAAAAGTACCTTTGTATTTTCCTATTTCCAGTTGGCAGTATGTTTAAAAGTACCTTTGTATTTCCCTATTTCCAGTTGGCAGTATGTTTAAAAGTTCCCTCGTTTTTCCTATTTCCAGTTGGCAGTATGTTTAAAAGTACCTTCGTATTTCCCTATTTCCAGTTGCCAGTATGTTTAAAAGTACCTTCGTATTTCCTTATTTCCAGTTGGCAGTATGTTTAAAAGTACCTTCGTATTTCCCTAATTTCATTTGGCAGTATGTCTCAAAATTCAAATATTAAGTGAAAAAATAATTTAGTAATTGAAATAAATAAATATTGAAAAACTGTCATGAGTGTGTTTATTTATGTATTTAAATATAAAATTATTGCTATTTTTTAAAGATTCCAAATTTGACTATTTAATGCACCAAATTTCTCATTTTAAGAGGGATAGGAAAATCTGATTGTAATTTTAGTGGATAAACTAAGCCATTAACTGTCAGTAGATAGACAGCATATGAGCATATGGGGGTGTTTGTTAGACTTGTATTGTTTCTTGTCTTGCTTGATCACTGCCCTGATAATTTAAGTACATTTAATCTACATTTTAACTAATATTTATTGTAAATCAGTACAAATTCTAATATGAATAACTTATGTGAGTTATATCATGATAATTATCTTCTTTTTTTTAATATTCACTGGGGGAAAGAGGTACAAAATTTATTCCGTGAATCACTATTTATAAGGCCAAACTCTTTGATAACTTAAACTATTTTGTAACTAAGCTGAAAATGAGACTATTAAGCAGTCTTTTCACAAAGTCATTAATTGCAAGTTTTTTCAAGAAAATGCTTATAGATTTCTTCATTTTTTGTCACCAAGATATTAAAAATTTAAACAATGGTAAAATATTGAGTTTTTTCTTAGTTTGTTTGTATGTTTTTTTAGATTAATATTATTTTGGGAGAAATTTCTTATAATATTGAATTTGACCGAACTTTTCATTGAACAAAGAACATCCTGTGTTCCCATTTGTAAATTGGATTAACCCACAATATTATGCATGTATTTCTGATTTATACTTGACTCTAAATCTCCAAACACACCCAAAGTTTTAACTTTCAAGTTGTTGTCTTCACACAACAAATGTTCAAGGTGACTTGCCCCATGACCTTTTACATGGAGTTTGCATGATAGAAGGAAAATAAAGATGAATCATGTCTCAAAATTTTGTCATATTATTGTAAAAGTGTTTTTGCAAAGTTACAATTCAGTATTAATTCACTCTGAAACACAGAAAAAAGTGGAAAGATGTTATTAAATATATTTTATTTCTCCTTATTAATATAATTTTTATGAATACTAGTTCTAACTTTTGGAACTATTTCAAATTGTAAGAAAG